AGGAGTGTGGGGTGATTCCTGGAGGGAGGGGAGAGAGGCCCCCGGGGCCGATGGGGGTGTTACACAATGCGGACTCTTCCCCGGCGCCTTTCCAGGGCTGCCCCTTCTGCCCGGGCTGCCTGCACACAGGAGCATGGCTGAGGGCAGAACCCGGAGCTACAGGTTTAATTCAGCCACGTCCCTGGAGCGTTTCCGTGGGACCCACAGTGCCGGTTTCGTGGCTCATTCCCCGGGTGTGTCCCTGGCCCCGGGGTGCAGGGGTCTCACTCCAGAGCGCTTCGCCGGGGAGGCTGCACTACCACAGCCTGTTCCGGCCAGGCCTGCTGGGCGCGTGCGAGGGCTCCCTGTGCCAGGCAGGGCTGGGCCGAGGCAAGGAAAGCCCTGAGCAGCCGTAATGGAGCTGGAGCCCAGTGCAGGGTCAGATTTCCCACTGGGGGGGCTGCTCGGGGGGCTCAGGACTGACCCCCCAGTCGGGGAGCTGAGCTGAACCCTCCTGCCCGTGTCTGCAGAGCTTGCACAAGCCCTGGGCTCCGGCGCCCGCAGGGGGGGTGCGGGGCTCTCGCTGGGAGGGGCTGCAGCTGTCCAGGCTGATCTCAAAGCGTTTCCCGCGGGGGACTCGAGGCGCGGTCGCTGGTGTAGCAGGCGGGCCGGAGGCTGCTGGCTGGTCCGCGGCAGAGGCCTGAGCGGTGCTGGGCCACAAGGCCCCTTGCGGGGAGGGGGCGAGGCAGGGCCCACCTGCACAGTGCTCGGCGGGAGCGAGCTGCCTGGGGCCAGGGGGCTGGTCCCCACTCCTGAGGAGGGTGAGTGGCGGGGGAGAGAGCCAGGCCTCTGCGTGCCGGCCTGAGGCCTGGGCAGCGCCCGCAGGGAACGTGCAGTCAGGCCGGGGCACGTGGCTCACCAGCCCCCGGAAAGGCCGATTTCCCGAGGAGGGAAGAGCCTGGCGGAGTTCAGGGCGTGGGTCGGCAGCTCCCCGCCGGGTTCTTTGAGTGCGTCTCCTGGGCACTTGGCTTGGTGGGGGCGCCCCGGGAAGGGCGGTGGGAGAGAGCTGGGCAGGTAGTCACGGTGCGACGGGCGAGGGAAATCTCAGCAGGGCGACTGGTAGAGCCGAGTGTGACTCGAGCCACCGGGGACAAAAGGAAATGGGGGGTCAAGGGGAGGGAGCTGGATCCCTGCCTGCTGGAGGGGAACCCCACAAACCCGGGCCTGTTTGCATCTCTGGACTGGGGGCTGCTGCTCTCTGCTCCCGTGAGGGGGGACAGGCCTCACTGCCATTTCCTGTGCTGTGTGGGACAGGCTGGAGGCCAGTGATGTGCCGGGGTTGCCGCCAGGCCAGGAAATCCAGCCTGCCCAGTGCGTTGTCCTGGGTGATCTGCCCTGGACTCGCACGGCCTTGTCTGCACGGTGCTGTGCTTGCACGAGTGTTTCCACACCGTTGGCGTGGGCTGTGGGTGCGCCTGGGCGTGGCTTGAACCCCACTGCCGACCTGTGGGAGACAGCGGCTAACTCCGCCTCTCGCCCCAAGCCCACCGCGAGCTCCTTGCGGCCCCGGCTCTGCAGGTGCCAGCTGGGCGTGGCTGGCCTGGGGGCACTTTCTGGAGCTTCATCTCCCAGCCATGGGAAGGAGAACGGGCCCTTGCAGCCGCAGCTCCGGCAGGGTGCTCTCATTGCCTGAGGTGCCCAGCGAGAGGTTGTGCAGCCCGAGGCCGGGTGGGCAGAAGAATTTCGCCCCCTCCGGTTACTCTGCCCAGGAAGCTGTTTGCTCATAGCCAACCCAGAGCTCCCGCTGCAACTTGTGCCCGTTGCTCCGCGCTCTGGGCAAGGAGCAGGAGCCTCTAAGAGCCTGCCACGGACAGTGACTTCTCCTGGCTCTGGGGCGTGCCCAGCGCTGCCCTGTGTCAGCGGAGCAGAGCTGAGGGGTGCGTCCGGTGGGCCACGCGTCTCGGGAGGGCGCGGTGCTAAACTGGCTCCTCGCTACTTCAGGAAGAGACGGGGGGGGCAGCCCTGGGGCTACAAGGGCCTTCGTTGCAGAATTGAGAGCACGCCGCACTTGGTAACGGGGGGAGGAGAATGGGAGACCCAGGGAGCATCTGGGGTGGACACAAGAGTTCGCTTTAGGGCTGACAGGCGGGTTAAAAACTTAATCCCAATTGACTGCGCAATTTAAACAATGAATTGTGTTTAATCACACGATTCATCACACTCTTAATAATATGCACCTGTATTCTACATTGGCCAATACGTTGATTTACACGACACCACAACACAAAGTGCCCAGTGCTCGCTGTATTTGTGAGGTACCGATATTTGCCCTATAGCCGAAATCCTGGCTTTGGGCTCCCCGCTGCATCTCCTCTGTCGTGGGAGTTGAACTGCAGAGGTGGAATTCTGTACTAGAGCTGCGTTCGGAGATAAAAGGAGGCAAACGTTCGGCACCCACAAGTCCACTCAGAGCCGCTCGGACAGCCACGCGGGTTTAGGTTTGCGGGAGTCGAGCTGCCCGCTTGTGGACACGGTCACCCGAGAGCCGTTCATTTTGACATTACTGGGTCGCTCCGTTCGCTGGTGAATTGATGGCCCCAGGTGGATCCCCTTCCCGAGAGTGGAACAGCGTCTCTCCTAGCGGCGGTGGGTCCCACTCCGAGACGTGATGCTAGCAGCTCAGCGGCTGTGGAGTGAACACTCGAGTGGCTGCGTGTCTCTCGCGGCTGGCTGAGAGCGCCCCAGCCGGGGCGTGGGACGTGGAGTCCCGTGGCAGCTAGTTTAGCTGCGAGGTTGCTAGGGAGCCGGACAAGAGCGGCTGCTTAATGTAAAAGCTGCTGTTTTAGGGGCCGTACAGAACGATTCTGCTGAGGCTGGGTCAGCGCGCAGTGTAGTGGGACAGATGTTGGGACAGATGTTCGAACTCGGAAAAGCTTTGGGGGTTGGTTTGGGGGCCCAGCGAAGAGCAGCCAAAGAAGCGCTCAGGTGCCTTCCTGCTAGGGACCAGATCGGAATCTGATTACACTAGAAAAGCATCTTGGTTTCCTGCGCAGGCCACTGACGCCTGGAGCTTTCTGTTGTGACCGGAGAAAGTTCCCCAGTGAGAATCGGGGCACAGGAGCCTGCGCGGGGGAGGGGGCCAGGGTTGTGGTTCAGGACAGTAAGCGGCGGCCATGGGACGTGCCCAGTGAGGATGGGTGGGATGCTCAGTTCTCAGTTCCCGTCATGCTACGGGTTGGACTCCGTGGCCCGGCAGGGTTGGAGTGAGCCGGGTGTCCACGTATTGCAGGGCAGCCACGTGCCCCGCAGTCCCATCAAGTTTGCTTGCAGCCCCCAGGCCTGGCTGTGTGCTGGGCTGTTCTTAGCTCGGCTTTACCCCAAGTGGGGGCGGGGCAACCAACAGATTCTTCAACAGCTTCGTGTTCTCGTGGCCGTAACCACTGGCGTGCGGGAGAGACCAGTGAACGGAGCCGCGGCCTCGCTGATGGACGGGCTCTGGGAAACCCCCGTCAGACAGTTCCAGGGCAGGACGGGCCCTCAGAAGGGCAAGGCTGGGCCCCTGGGCTGAGGTGGGACCAGGTGACCATAGACCAGCCCTGAGAGGTGCTTGTCCGGCCTGTTCTTCCAGCCCTCCCGTGACGGGTTCCCAAGTCCCTTGGAAGCCTGGCCAGGGCGTCGCTCCCCTTCCAGTCAGGCTGCCTGCTTCTCCCTTGCTGCAGTCAGAACAACTGATCGCCTGCCTCCCTCTAACCGCCCTGAGCATGATCCGGTCCCTCGGTCGCCCTCTCCAGACTAGGCCCAGGGTTCTAACCTTCCTCGCAGGGCAGGGTTTCTGAGCCCTGTATTCTCTTTGCTGCTCTGCTCTGGGCTCTCTCCACTTTGTCCACGTGGCTCCTGACGGGCTGGCACGGATCAGACAGTCCCCCAGCCTCGCCTCGCCAGGGCGGAGTAGAGTAGGATAGTCACCCCACCTCTTAGTCCCGTCGTTTGGGCCTTTGCCGGCACTCCGACACTCCGCGGGTGTGTGGGGTGGAAATGCAGCAAACGGCCTGACACCCGCATCTTCTAGCTCCCTGCTCGGACTGTTCCTGGTTCAGCCTCTGGCTGCCTCCACCCTGCCATTTCTGTCCCCAAGGCCACGGGCTGCAGGGGTGCTGGTGCAGGAGGAGCTCTCCTGGCCCCGTTCCGACCCACGGCAGCTGGGCCTGCTTTCACTGCTGTGCGGCTCCCTGACGAAGCCCTGCTAGTCCCCACCTCTCTCCCCTCCCGGCCTGTGCAGCGTTCGCACTCACTCCGCTGCCTGGGGCCCGTTCGTGGCTTTGGAACTGCTGCTCCTTGCCCCTGGCTATTTCCAGCTCTGGAAACACACGTACCCGCGTCCAGCCGAGAACTGACCTGATTCGTGACGCCTCTCCCAGCAGCGCTCGCCGCCCGGCCCCAAGACACAGGCTGCAGCAGGGGAGGGTTCACTCTGCGCTGTGTTCGTGCAGCAAAGGCGAGCGTGCTGCAGGACCTGGTCCTGGGCGAGCCAGCCGCATTGGGGTTTGCATTGGGGTATGGCGAGGAGGCCTGTCCAGAGGCTGCTGATGCTGTGAGTTTGCCCTTGGTAGCTGAGGCGGCTGCATGCCCTACCCCGGGACTGCTGCCTGAGGCAGTCTCTGTCCTGCCGCCCGAGGGGCAGCCGGGTTCGTCTGTATCAAGCAACAAGCAGTCCTGGGGCAGCATAGAAGCTAACAAATGTATCAGGTCGTACGCTTTCGTGGGCCAAACCCACTTCACCAGACGAGTGGGAGTGGAAATGGCAGAACGGGGGGTGTACAACAGCAAAAGCCAACTGCAGGCCCAGTGTTAATGGAGTCAGGGCGGGTGCGTTGCAGTCCGTGGGGTGTGGAGATGTGACGATCAGAGGCAGGGGAGTTGCCTTTGTAGTGCGGTAACCAGGCCTGGAGCCGGTAGCTGGAAATGGTGGCTAGTTATACAGACGAGCCTGCTAACGATTTCTGTTCCTTTTCCTGCCCCAGAACATCCCCACGCTGGGGAGCGTCGCGATCACCATGGCCCTCCACAACTGCGACGAGGTGGCCGTGGCAGGGTTTGGCTACGACATGAATTCTCCAAACGCCCCGCTGCATTACTACGAGAGCACCAAGATGTCGGCCATAAAGGAGGTGAGGAGCCCGGGGCTCTGCGGCCTGCGGATGGCGCTAGTGGATGGCGCTTTCCCTCCCTAGGA